CCACCAGCCTATGGACCCACCCTATAGAAGCCTCTAATTTCCTTGGACTGGAAGAACTCGAAGATCCTGACCCAGGATGAAGCTACAACAACAACCAAAACCATACTGCAGTCCTTCAAATTATCATACAGGGAAATTTTCATCTTTCTAAACATCCCAACGAATGATTTGACAGGTTCTTCAGAAAGTATCGAGTGCTCGGAAACCTACCTTGTTATTGTTATCTGATAATTATATATATTTCAGTTTGGGAGAGGTTAGGTTTGAAAACGAATTTACCAGCTTCTTTTTTAAACATCTTTAATTTGTATTAACAAGATTTTGTTTAATGCATACATAAGGGATGATTACAGTAATAATAATGATAATAATCTACATCTACGCTGTCTCTCTTCATATATGTATATTAAATATTATATTTCTTAAAACAATATAAAATAAACGCTATTCAACTTCACCAACAACAATTTCAACGGATAAATCTTCAGGTAGAACCAGAAAATTGATCAAAGTTTGGTTTCTAATTTGAGCGGGTAGACAGTTAAAGATAAAGTTTAGTCTCCAGGCAAAGTTTGGTTTCCAAGTTAGTACAAAATAAAGCATTGACACTTTTAATAGAATACAGACATTAGACATCAATTATCCAATACTAGACAGACACTAGACATCAATTATCCCCAACACTAGACAGTCAATGTGACAGACACTAGACATCAATTATCCAATACTAGACAGTCAATGTGACAGACACTAGACTTTAATTATCCCACACTAGACAGTCAATATGACAGACACTAGACATCAATGATCTAAGACTCGACAGTAAATATATGACAGACACAAGACATCAATGATCTAACATTAGACACTGAATGTGACAGACACTAGACATCAATGATCAAACACTCGACAGTCAATGTGACAGACAATAGACATCAATGATTTAACACTCGACAGTCAATATAACAGACACTAGACATCAATGATCTAACACTTGACACTCAATGTGACAGACACTAGACATCAATGATCAAACACTCGACAGTCAATGTGACAGACACTAGACATCAATGATCAAACACTCGACAGTCAATATAACAGACACTAGACATCAATGATCAAACGTTTGACAGTCAATGTGGCAGACACTAGACATCAATGATTTAACACTCGACAGTCAATATAACAGACACTAGACATCAATGATCAAACACTCAACAGTCAATGTGACATACACTAGACATCAGTGATCTAACACTCGACAGTCAATGTGACAGACACTAGACATCAATGATTTAACACTCGACAGTCAATATAACAGACACTAGACATCAGTGATCTAACACTCGACAGTCATTGTCACTAGACATTAATTGATCCAATACCAGACGTTGACTGCGACAATCACTGGGCATCAATGATAGAATACTAGACAGTCACTGTGATAGACGCTAGACATCAAGGATCAAATACTAGTCATTATACAATCACTACCATGAAACTAATCAGACATTAGAGATTAGACATGATATAGACATCCTACTGCACTAGACATTCACCACTAGAAACTAATCAGACATTACAGATTAGACATATAGACATCCTACTGCACTAGACATTCACCACTAGAAACTAATCAGACATTACAGATTAGACACGATATAGACATCCTACTGCACTAGACATTCACCACTAGAAACTAATCAGACATTACAGATTAGACACGATAGACATTCTACTGCACTAGGCATTTACCACTAGAAACTAATCAGACATTACAGATTAGACACGATAGACATTCTACTGCACTTGACATTTACCACTAGAAACTAGACACAAAGCACTTTGTGTTTGTAGATACTAGACAAAAGCATTAGGCGTAATACAGTTTACTTTAGAACACATTAGGCACTATAGACAGAAGAAACTTGCCTTTAGTTAAACCTTTCCAAAAAAAATTTCTTCAGATTTACATATAAACACGAAAAGAATAAGAATAATGATAACTTTTATATTGCTAATAAACCATTGAAAAAATACCATTTTTCGTAAATCATGTTCTATAAACATTTTAACAGTTATTAAAATAATCTAATTGCAGTAACTCCCTTATTTTTTCACTCTCTAGAAATTCTCGAAACAGTTTTCTATAATAAAGTTATCTATATTTACAATTTTAAATAGTTACCAAGCTTTACCACTTTTTACACTTTTAATATCTATGAATATCTCTGTAGATCTAATTTCAAGTGACCTTGACCATTTAATTAGAGGCATGCCGGGTACAAAACGGTGCCTTATATAATATACAATTTGACTGAGCACAATGAAGACGATATTCTTTTTTTCTGAAAATTGGCAATTTTTAATTGTGGTTTCTCTTTGAGAAATAACTTATAGATTTATGTGGCAGAGCGAATGAATGAAATTTAACAGAATTTGAAACGTTTAAAGATAGGAAACATTTGAAGAAAGGAAACGTTTAAAGATAGGATCGTTTACAGATAGAAAACGTTTAAAGATAGGAAACATTTAAAGAAAGGAAACGTTTAAAGATAGGACACGTTTAAAGATAGGAAGCGTTTAAAGATAGGAAACGTTTAAAGATAGGAAACGTTTAAAGATAGGAAGCGTTTAAAGATAGGAAACGTTTAAAGAAAGGAAACGTTTAAAGATAGGAAACATTTAAAGATAGGAAATGTTTAAAGATAGGAAAGGCTTAAAGATAGAAAACGTTTAAAGATGGGAAACGTTTAAAGATAGAACATGTTTAAAGCGTTTACAGATAAGAAATGTTTAAAGATAGGAAACGCTTAAAGATAGGAAATGTTAAAAGATAAGAAACGCTTAAAGATAGGAAACGTTTAAAGATAGGAAACATTTAAAGATAGAAAAGGCTTAAAGATAGGAAACGTTTTAAGATAGGAAACGTTTAAAGATAGGAAACGTTTAAAGATAGGAAACGTTAAAAGATAGGAAACGTTTAAAGATAGAAAAGGTTTAAAGATAGGAAAAGTTTAAGATAAGAAACGTTTAAAGCTAGGAAACGACGATGTCTTCAGCTCAACTGTTTCTCAGATCAAGGTATAAAAGATACCGTTGTGAATCGAACCAACAACTTTGAAATTGTCACTTGAAATTCCGTTAATAGACCCTTTTATATTCTAAAAACATAATCCATCTTTAAATATTTCTTTTTCAACATTTTCTTCTTCTTCTTCTTCGTTTTGAACAGACGAGAAAATATCCTAGAAATGGAATTGGTAATATTTAAGAAAATTTAGCATAGATAATAATAATGTTAATAATAATGCTAATTAGAACAGTTATAATAAGGATAATACTAATATTGATAGTAATAATAATAATAGTAATAACATTAATAATAATGAAAAACTAATATTGATAATAATAATAATATTAATAATAATGATTATAAGAATGATAATAATAATAATAATGATAATACTAATGATTATAAGAATAATAATACAAATTATAATAATGACACCTTGAACTGTCTCAGCTGTGTACTGTTGATGAATGTAACAGCGCTGTCTGCTGAACAGTTGTCTACTGTAGAGCTGTCTGCTGTTCCACAGCTAGTAACACAACGGTAGGACAACCGAGGATAGGACAGATCACTGCAGTCCTGTTAAATAAGATTTTTTATTAATAGTTAAAAAATGAATTACAGATCTGAATCTCAAAATCTCAAATTAAAGGGAGTGTTCGCGAACTATGAAAAGGGGTATAGGCTTAATGCGATAAAAAGCGCTTTTGATCGCTACTAATCTTACTTCTATCTGTTGCGTCTATAAGGAGGAAATTGTTAAAAACGACTAATACCGAAGAACGTGGTGTCCATACAAATTCAGACCGTAAAAAAATCAATTTAATTTCAAACAAATCATTCAGATATTACAATCTATAGTCATCGATTATCTTTCGCCACATTTTTATATAGTTGATTTTTCATAATATGTTTTGATTTTATTTTTTAAAATAATATTTAGCTTACAACTTGTTTTCGAACATTCCTGGAAAATATTAAAATGTCGTCTTCATTACCAAAAATCCTCGAAACAGGAATAAATGTTTTTATAAGTAACTCTCAGATCAAAACAATTAAAACATATTATGAAAAATCAACTATATACAAATGTGGCGAAAGATAATCGATGACTATAGGTTGAAGTATCTGAATGATTTGTTTGATATTAATTTCTCCTTATAGACGCAACAGATAGAAGTAAGATTAGTAGCGATCAAAGGCGCTTTTTTATTGCATTAAGCTTATACCCCCTTTCATTTTTCGAGAACACTCCCTTTAATTATGTACAATAAGTTGGTTGGATTTGAGGGGTTTAGACTATTAAAAGGATTTGAGGGGTTTGGACTATTAAAAGGATTTGAGGGGTTTGGACTATTAAAAGGATATGAGGGGGTTTGGACTATTAAAAGGATTTGAGGGGGTTTGGACTTTTAACAGGATTTGAGGGGGTTTGGACTATTAAAAGGATTTGAGGGGTTTGGACTATTAACAGGATTTGAGGGGGTTTGGACTATTAAAAGGATTTGAGGGGTTTGGACTATTAACAGGATTTGAGGGTTTTGGACTATTAACAGGATTTAAGGGGTTTGGACTATTAAAAGGTTCGTTTTCAAAAACGATTAACAACCCTAGGTACAGCTCTGTAAAGTACCCCTATTACAATGTCAGGTGAGACGATTTCTTGGTTAAATTGATTTTTCTGTCTTACAGATACAGAAAATCTTGTAATGGCTTCTTTAATCATTTGGCAAAGGAAGTAAGTTTGCAGTTGCAGAGAATAGTGAATATAAGGAAACAGACAATATCAATTCTTTACAGTCGTCCCTGTATTATCATTCTTTGTGGACAAAGACGACCTAAGAGAAAAAATAATGTTAAAATTTACCTGAATAAGATTTAATTTGAAAGACGGTTCCTTTTCTCCCTGGAGCGATGAATCAGGGAGCGGATGGGTGGAGTAGTTGGACTCCTCCCTGCACGCTGGGGAGTGAAAGGATCCACTCCTTAGGGTAGGAGGGGAGGGGTAGGGAGTAGGGGAGGGGTAGTGAGTAGGGGAGGGGTAGGGAGCAGGGGAGGGGTAGGGAGTAGGAGAGGACGATCTAACACCGACATGAGGCCAGTATTTCTAAATATTAAACATTAAAATGTTTCACAATATTGCAAAAAAGTTAAAGTTTATTATCTCTCCACAAAAAAGAAGTCTGGACTAACCAGGGCTATATGAGTTTAGTTTTTTTATTTAAACCTACAGAGATGAAATTTTTGTGTCTGTAATCTCAAGTTCTCATTATAAATACTTTACACATTAATCATAAACATTCGTCTTTCTATTCCACAGTTTTATGGTTTTCCAGCAAAAAGAAAAAATCGTTTCGCGAAAATATCGTAATTATTTTTTCGCGACCATTTTGCTTCATTTTCGCAATTCGTTCGCTCGCGAAAAAATAATGCAAATATATCGCGAAAAAAAATAATTCGCAGAAAAAGTCGAAAATTTAGCGAAAAAAAAACAAACAGATTTCTTATAAACAAATGCAAAATTTCAGCGAAAAAGTTGCGAAAATTCATCAAAAAAGACTAAATTTTAAGAATAAAAGATTCATTTTCAAAGAGGGATTTAACCGCGAGCCCAATTGATGGATTAACACAAATATAATTATAGATTTAAAAACGACTACGAGACATCAGACAATTCATAGATTTGCGAAATTTCACGAAATAGTTTGCAAAATGCGACCGAAAATGTTCGTATTTTTTCGCGAAACGTTTCGTTTGCCGGAAACAATTATTTATAAATTGCATAAAAAGCCAAAAATAAAATTATTTCAATAATAGAAAAATATCTACTTACAGTTTGTTTACAGCCTTGCTCTTGGTCATCCGGGTCTTCAAGAGTTCTCTTCAGATGAGCAATATAGCTCATTGCTAGCCTTAGAGTATCCAGTTTACTTAACTAGATATATAAAGCAANACTTAACTAGATATGAAAAGCAATATAGCTTATTGCAAGTCTGAGATTATCCTGCTTACTTAACTAGATATAAAAAGCAATATAGCTCATTGCTAGCCTTAGAGTATCCTTTTTTCTTAACTAGATATAAAAAGCAATATAGCTCATTGCTAGCCTTAGAGTATCCTGATTACTTAACTAGATATGAAAAGCAATATAGCTTATTGCAAGCCTTAGAGTATCCTGCTTACTTAACTAGATATATAAAGTAATATAGCTCATTGCTAGCCTTAGAGTATCCTGCTTACTTAACTAGACATAAAAAGCAATATAGCTCATTGCTAGCCTTAGAGAATCCTGCTTAGTTAACTAGATATGAAAAGCAATATAGCGTATTACAAGCCTTAGAGTATCCTGCTTACTTAACTAGATATATAAAGTAATATAGCTAGCTCATTGCTAGTCTTAGAGTATCCAGTTTATTTAACTAGATATGAAAAGCAATATAGCTCATGATAGACAGATGGATAAATAGATAGATAGATAGATAGATAGATAGATAGATAGATAGATAGATATATAGATAGATAGATAAATAGATAGATAGATAGATAGATAGATAGATAGATAGATAGATAGATAGATAGATAGATAGAAATACCTACTTTAGTATCAGGTGGCACCCAGGGTAAAGTGAGTTTAAGTCTTCCAAATGCTTTGCTAAGAACGCGCATGCGTGTTCGTTCTCGCGCATTTGCCTCGTTTCGTGGAACCTCCTGTCGTGATTTGGATATGTGTTACACTGTACAGTGTACACTGCACTACATTGTCCTGGGCTAGGTACATGGTTTTATCCAAGTTGTATCCTAGTTATTCTCCGGATATTTATTTTTGATATTTTAATTACGACATATATACATATATTTTGTATATAGAATTCAATACCTGTTTGAAAGAAAGCATGATATGAACAAAATTGTTCAATAACGCAAATGTTTTGCGGAATTAAAATCTACGAATTTTTCAAGACATAATAAATTTTAATATCTGTAAACATGTTAAATTTAAAAGAAAGTACGCTTGCTGCAGTTAAAAGTTAGAAGTCTTATTAAACAGATCATCTAGAAAAGAGTTGAACTGTACAGCGTACACTGCACAGTAATTCAAATTTTCTGCATTAATGTACACTGTACACTGGTACAGTGTACAGTTTCCAATATGTTTAACTTACAAAATGCAGTATGTCTTTTACTAATTAATATAATTGATATCAATTAGTTAACAAATAACCGTGTAGAGAGACTTTTCAACAATTAACAGTGTAGACTGTAGAGGGGACTTCTTAACAATTGACAGTGTAGTGGGAATTATTAACAATTAATAGTGTAGAGGAAGTTTTAGCAATTAATAACGTATTGTGAATTTTTAAGAATTAACAGTGTAGAGGGAATTTTTAACAATTTACAGTGTAGTGAAAATGTTAAACTATTAGCAATGTACATATATCCTTCCTTTTCTCCGCCCTCTTCTTTTCTTTTCCTTCGAGGCATACTCCTTATTCTCCTTATTCTCCTTATTCTCCTTATTCTCCTTATTCTCCTTATTATTCTTATTATTCTTTATTCTTTATTCTTTATTTCTGATGTCATCTTCTTTTTATCTTCATTATTTCTTTTTTGTTTTTAAACACAAACCTTTTCACTTTTAGGGTTCTCAAACTCCTTTTTTTTTAGTTCATGAAAATAGAAATTTTTCTCAAAATGTTCAAGATTTTTTAAAAATATTAATTTATTCTAAGATGACAGTTTTGTTAAGGTTTGTCTGAAAGGTTTGGAATTAAACTGACTGCATAGGTGGCTGTGCTCCCAAGGGACCCTGAGAGCGCTCCTATAGGTTCCTTGTTGCACCCGGAGAAAAGGATCCGTCCCGTCCTCTCCGAGTGGTCAAGTATACCTCCGACATATACTGGGCTTCTATTGGTGGAATTATGCCGCCAAGTTCAAACATAATTCTTCAACAGGAAATAGGAGTTAGGGGGATATAAAGATGTAAAGGGAAAGAGGAACATAAAAGGAAAGAGGGATATAAAGGGAAAGAAGGATAAAAAGAGAAATAGGGATATAAAGGGACTCATATCATGATATAAAGGGAAAAGGGGGATGTACAGATAAAAAGAGAGAGGGGGATAGACAAATATAATTAAAGGGAACAAGGGGATATAAAGATATAAAGAGAAGAATTGATATAAAGATATAAAGGGAAAGGAGGTATATTAAGATATGGAAGGAAAGGGGGGATATAATTAAAGATATAAAGAGAATTAAGGATATAAAGATATAAAGGAAAAGGGGGGATATAAAGATATAAAAGGAAAGGGCGATACAAAAATATAATGGGAAAGGGGGGATATAAAGATATAATGGGAAAGGAAGGATATAAAAATATAAAGGGAAAGGAAGGATATAAAGGGAAAGGGGGATATAAAGCTATAAAGGGAAAGGAAGGATATAAAGATATAAAGGGAAAGGAAGGATATAAAGGTA